ATTAATGATAGTGAGTGTGTTTTGAACGCTATTGTTCGGTTAAAACTGATTGTTTCAATAACATCGGGGCAGCAATAATTATTGCTATTTCATGATTACTTGTCAAATATTATCTGAACGTATTTGTTATAAGTTTTAGACACGCTAAATAATAATATTGAGCCTTTTGTATTCACCGTGGTTTTATTTAGTAAAATATTTTATAAAAATCTATCTACAGATATTAGATATGATGTAGATAGATTATTATAAAATAAAAATTTTTTTTTATATTATTAGATATTATAATATTTTGTGCTCTCATTATAATGTACCCTATGGCGCCCAAAAAGGAGTTGATTTATTTGCCAAAGCACAATGTTAAATTACGGCATCCAAAATTCAAAATACTACCGGTACATTATCAATTCAGTATTGGTCCTTTCTATTTGATAATAATTTTAAATTTTATAAGTATACTAAATAGTATATGGACCACAACATGGAACAGAATTGAGAATCCAACCTTTTAAAAGTAGTAGGGGCGATAGTAATAAAACGAGATTCATTCTAGCGTGTAATCCATTTACATGGACGTCCGAACCAGTATGGCTTATACAGGCTTGGGCTCATGTTTACAACGAGCAAATTGTCCTATACATTCTGTGGCCAGTTTTATTTATTGAAACCTACAAATTGTATGCGATACACAAGACTTTAAAGTCAATTGTTTGTTATAAAAAACGAACGCAATTCGTGTGCGTTTTAATTTTTAGTAGTATTATAATTCAAAAAATATAACTTTTATTATAATGTAAGATTATAATAAATGTTGTAATTTTTAAATTAATACCCACTTTGACGGTTTTAAACGCGAGATATATAATTATTGACATGTTTGTATTATTTTTAACTTCGGCCCGAAGTTCCAGATAATGATTAGCAGCCGTGGTCACGAGGAACAGAAGATGGAGGGTGTCCTTATACATCTAAGTCAAGTCTGCTACGTTAGCACCATCTGCCTCCACTCAAAGCAATTTTGCCAGTTTTTTACCGTTAAATGTGATTTTATTTCAATGTGTGCTACCCACATAAACCACAGACAATACCACGTTTGAAATGTCCGCGAAAATTCGAGAAAATACGCACTTTAGCGTTTTAATGTTCTTACCTTTTACCATTAAACTTATTTTTTTCTTTTCCCCGGTTTCCAATTGTCCTAGAACAACGGAAGGACTAATTATGATAAAACACAGTTTTATCAATCAAAACGCGTCTTTTAACCACTGATGTCGGTAAGACCAAGTGGCGTAGCTCACTATAGCCAATAAACTAATAATTCACGAAGAACCGCTATAACAAGCGATATTTCCGTAGCATCCTTAACTTGTCATTCGCTGACGTGAAACGTGATCAAACAAATCAAAGGAAATGGGGCGATGATATTACAATTTACGACCTCCATTTATTTAGCCATCCGTAAGATGTCATTGTATTGATAGTCTCATGGTTTGGTGTACAATTATCGTTGATAGGTTCTACCTCACTGTCCTTTTATATAGAGCAATGTTTAATTATTCGAAAATGTATACATATACATATCTTAATACATACCTATAAAATTTCAACATATTCTGTGTGCCACAGATGACTCTAATGAAGAATTTAAATGTCTCGTAATGTCTAACATAAACATATTTTACTATCTAAGTTGTATAGAAATATATCTATTAGCTTGGCCACCACGGCTGCTGCAAAGCATCCGAAACGGCGGACCGAAGTTAAAAATCATTTTCAAATAAGTTTAACTAATATATCGCGTTTTAAACCGTTAAAGTGTTTTATTTAAATGTGTAATACTCGCGTAAACTATAGACAGTATCTATTAGCTTGTCACGAGCACTTTTAGCTTCCACTTTCTGCACAGACTTTTCTACGCCGAAACTCTTTACAATTTAAGCTGTAAGATCACATAACTCCTCAGTGCTTAGACTATAAAAGTTAAGGCGAAATATGGAAACCATATAGTCGCTTTTCACTTATCGTTCTTAAATCACGTTTTACTTACCAGATAAATATACAATTAGTAAGTTATTAATGATGGCGGTCTCCGCTTACGACTGCCATCAGGGCCAAAATCTCTCGACATGGCCAAAATTGACGTCATTAAGACTAAACGCAACATTATAGGGTCTGGATAATTGAGCCATCCCCGATAACTGGATTGCAACACCCAATTTAAACTTCAATAATTACGAGATAAATCTGAGAGAAACAATTACGTCTAGGTCTTATAACATTCAATTATCCTGGGTTATTACTGAGAAAATGGGAAACCAGAGTTTATGAAAGCAATTGCTAAAACGAATACTAGATTGGATAAGTATTATTTTACAATTACCTGCTTGTTGTGTTTTTTTAGGCAGGCGAATTGTTTTTATTTATTAAAGGGTTATTTAGTAAAGACTTCATAATATAAAAGTATTAGACATTGGAAGAATAGGTTCCGATTTTTTAAAGTGCGGTATACAACAAATTTATTTTATAACAATAGACTTCAAAGTTCTTAAGAACAGTTGAAATAACATCGATGTATCGTATGTCTTTCGCAAATTTTTATTGCTGATCCTATGTATCCTACAGGTTATAAGAATTCATATCATTTCCATAAATTTATAATTATTATCATTAGTAATATAATACGCGAGAAATTGATCATGTTTTTTTTACATATTTTCGATAATAGAAAAATAAGCATGGCGCCTTGTCAATTGTCATTTCTCTCGACCCAAAATGAACCAGCCACTTAAAAAATACAAGACGAAAATGAGATTTACTTCATCAAATATTATCTTCCATTACAATTTCGCAAACACTGCCCTCGGGGTGGCGAGTATATAAAATTTTAATTAACCATCTTCGTCGGAATTAATTGAAGGGTTCAGTTAAAAACACTCCATAAATCGCGTCAATTGGCGTAAAATTCTCGTCCCACCCACGGCTCTATTACTGGGATGCCATTTTGGATACCTTTTTCGGCCATTTAATTTATTCAGACATGTTACTTTGACATTTTCCGGGCGGGGTAACTTTACTCAACTTCCATACTGCGGCTAGGCATAGTCAAATGGCTTTGACGTCTTTGCGTTGGTAGTAGCGTATAAGCGATCTCGTAATTGCCCATTTAACTAGATTATAATAATATACCAAATCATAGCGCACTTAAAGTACGCGCAGTTTTACAACTTTTTAAACTCTGTATATAGTTTTATTGTAAACTATATAGTGTCACTGTAAATGTATTGCACTACACAACTTATCGCTGTCAGCAATTTTCAGTAAATTTACAAATCAGAAATTCGTAATTGTTTTTGACGTTTTAAGTTTATTTAATAAATGAAAAGGGATTGTATAAGATAACAATAAAAAAAGTCCTTTTTTTATAAGAATCTATTTATTTCTTATATAAAAACCTTAAAACTATAATATACTGACGTAAACATTACAGACTAACCAAGTCTATTTCACTAAGGTTATTTTCAAGACTAATATTAATATATTTTATTAAGACTTAAACCATAATTACAACTAGAAGCAATCAATATTGCATTATAATATAAAGAGCTTACGTAACACGTACATTCGTTTTATTAATACTACTAAAAAATATTGTAAAAATAGTTAAACTAAATAAGTACAGTGCGTGTTGCAGCAATAAGTACTTAGTAATTAAGAATAAGTGACGCGGGTCTCTTTCGAGTCCTGAGTTCTGATTAAATGAAAGCAATTACCATTAAACTTATTATAATAATAAATTAAATTAAATTAAAATATTATATATACTTATTCCTCATTTAATCTACATTAATAGTTGTAGAGTATACAGCTGTTTAACATAACATTAAGTACTTAACTAAAGATTAAGTTACAGCTAGTCTTAAAAATTATTTAGCTCAAATTTTACAACTAAGTTTTTCATCAGTTCACGCAGCAACATCTAAAATTGTAAATAACTTATTTACCATTTATTCTAACTACGGCGTATTTATTATTTATATAATAAAAACGCGAAATTGATTAGTTAACTTATGTTAGCAATTTCTCGTTTTAAACCGTTAAAAGAGTTTTATTTAATTGTGTACTACTCTCGCAAACCATATATAGTTAGTAATTTGTCTAAAATTGTATTTCTATCAGATCATTGCTTAAAAATGTCCTTGTTTTGTTGATGTTACTTTAAATAATTTATTTAAGGAACCCTTGAAGAACACAAAATTGACAGCTAATTTGGCGGTTAATTTTTATCGCATAAACAAATTTTAAGGCGGCGCTAATTTAAAAGTAAAATACTCGTTTCACGGCGTTTTATGTATCCTTCGGGAGATATTGGGGGATCGAAGCCCGTATCTCATTATAGAGGGGTATCAAGTGTTTAATTTGGGCGTTACAAGGGGCGAACGATAGTTTTTTCACGACCTTTTTCCGTGGAAACCGTAAGGCGATGATAGATTTTCAAAGAGGGTTTGTTATATTTTTTATATAATTGATGAATGCACAAAATTGTTTAAAGTTTTTTTTTCGATAAAAATTGTAATGATGTTTTCTTTTTTGTTTAAAAATCAATTAAACCATGACTTTGGCTAACAGGTGCAGGCCAATTATTGTGTATCACATATTCATGACAAATAATAGAAGAAGAAAATTAAATTTGTGGACAACGGCTAACACTAAAAAAACTTAACTTAACTTAACTTAAACATTAAAAATACACATTTGATATCTAAATACTTTAAATAAAATCATATAACTAAGTAATTTATAATATATAACACTATTAATATAGGTTTAAACAAACTAACATTAGGTCAGGGGCGTGTTTTCATTACATTTTAACACTCTTTTAATTTTAATAATTGAAGCATTCGTTCAGATTGTTTTTTAGTTTGTATAGCAATTCTGTTCATATAATGAAAGCACGCTCCAAATGATATGAATTAAAACTCACCATAATCTGGAAGCTTCTACTCTACCATCCCCAGTTCTTGACCATGCCGCGAAGGGCTGTAATATTCTGAGCATTGTGTTAAGAGAACGTATCTGCCACGTAATGAAAACTTTAAGAAACACTAAACAATAGCAATTAAGAAGGTAGTATTGTTAATTTTTCTGTACGAACATTTGTATTGAAACAAGGGATAGGGAACCATTCTCTAATTGAAGTTAGAACGAAGAAAAAGTCTATACGTATGTCGTTGGGCAAATAAATAAACATGTTCTTCATAAAAAAAAGTTTTAATAACATTTTATGCTATTCAAATATTATTTTTTTACTTATTTATTTTTAATAAAAATTAAATCTTTTAAGCCTCTCTTAAAATTTGTATCCATTTTGCAAAACCCTTTAAAATTGTCTTTCTGTGCAATTTTAAACTTATGGATGGAGTACTTTCAGATGTTTATTTTTTTCTATTTATACTAACTCAAGATATACACCGTTTCCTAAACAGTTCTAAAGCATTTCAGTGTGTTGTTTTATTATCAACCATTACTTATAAAAAGGATACGAAAACATCTCTCGGCCTCCGCAGGGCTACTAAACTTGACAACTGCACAGCCAGGTATCGTGAACTCCAATGACACGACTTGCCCAACCTTCGCCAATTTACCGCAAATACTAGCGAATGTCACTCGTGGTGGCAACTACAAAAAATTTCTATTTAACCCAAACCTTCAAACAATGTTGTTATAACACTGGCGTCATCTATCATGCAACTTAAAGTTTTTCGTTGCGTCTAACATGTAGCAGACAAAATATGAATTGACTAGAAACACGTTGGACATGGTGGGGATCCATCCCAAGACCAAGGAGATCAAATAGAACTATCAATATAACAAATAGAACAATAATCAAAGTTGAAAAAACAAAAATACAACTATTTTACTTCAATAGTAAATACTGGGTGATATAATTTAGGGATACTTACATTCGAAATATTTAGAGTAACGGAATCCTTCCCTTTGAGAACTATAACACTAGGAACGCTGCTTAACGTGCCTAGTGGTAGTCCATTTGACGCCTGATAGTGTCCGCTTGTTCTTTGCGGCGTATTTAATCTTTGTGGTGGAGCGTTTAGACCGTGAAGTTGTTCTACAGCCCTCGGTCCATAAGACATTGGCATGGAGCAAGGTACATTAGGTGCAGGCAAAGCTGAAGGAAAAGTTGGTCCAGTTGGTCCCATCATTCTGGCGAGGGAAATATTCGGTCCTGTTGGGCCTCGTGGCATAAAATTTGTTCCAAAATTAGACACATGGGGATTTCTCAAATTGAACAGAGCAGGATTTTGAAAGGTCTGCTGGATTTGACCAGGATTTGACGTAGGCTGAGGAGGATAGGGACATTGCTGACCAGACGTAGTATAAGAATAATTAGGTTGATAGGATTGTTCCGTTTTAAAAGAAATTTGTGGAGGCTGGGTTTGAATAGTTGGGGTGGGATTGGTTAAGTTGGACAAAGGAGTGGACACGGGTGAATTCTTTATTTTAGGTACTGATATATAAATGTCATCTGAACCCAGAACGGAATTTCTGCTTGATTAGCCTTATTAAATGGATTTCTTTGCCCAATAACACCAAACTGACAACCTTCGGTTGTACCAGGTGTAGATGAAGAGTCTAGATCTAGATCGTCATTAGTACCGGATTTCTTGAACAAAGAAGTGTTAATCGCAGATGGTTTGCCCTTTATGAACCGATTATACTCTGACGCAACATCGCGGAGTGGTTTACCCATCGCACCAAGGCCTAAACCGAACTGTTGGAGTCCTTTGGGTAGTGGTAAAGCTAATTCTGCCATAGGATCCAACGTCACTTTTAAACATTGTCCATAGAAAATTTGTTCGTTCAACATTGAGATAGCCTGAAAGAAAAACTATTATAAGTTATCTTGTTTTTTAATTAAAGATGTTTTGATTTAATCTATGGGATGGTAACAGTAACCAGAATCAGTGGCTCTTTAAAAAATTGTGAATAAAGGTTATTTTTCTCTCCCCATTACATTAAAATTATTTCACTTGGCTTTTTAATACTAACCTGTACAGCTTCAAGTGGGTGACTATACATAATCTTGGCATAATTTTGTTTACTTTGTATTACTGCACATATAACAATATTTCCTGCCATTTCAAAGATACTTCTTAACTCGGATTTATCACATCTAAACTGTTAAGAAAAAACAAAGCAACTTTTTATTATACTTACATTAGTAATTTTATGTTGAAAACCATGATGTGATATATACATTATACTACCCATTATTCATTTCAGTTATGTATATAGATAACATAAAAAGTTTTCTTTTTTTATGCTACAAGGGAAAGAGAATACAAAAAAATCACATGTGAGCATATCAACTCAGTTAATAATATAAGATAATAAAGATCTATAGACTCTGGAAAAAACCTGTTTCACAGAATTTAATGTTCAGGAAAAGTAGGACTAAGTTCCGATTCTTATGTGGTAGTGTTTAATTTTTTTTATTATTTTATTAAATCTTATCTAAACTTGGTTAATGATCAACATCTTTGAAACCCAGCTTAGATCAGCTCTACAAAAATACAGTATATCTTTACTAATATTATAAATGCAAAAGTAACTCTGTCTGTCTGTTTCTTACTCTTTCACGCCAAAACTACTAAACGGATTTGAATGAAATTTGGTATGCAGATGGTCTAGACCCTGAGAAAGAACATAGGCTACTTTTGGTTGCAAAAAAGGGGTTAAAAGGGGGGTGAATGTTTGTATGGAAATTCGTGGTTTTTGAAGCTAGAACAATGAAACTTTCTTCTTTAGCCTTTTTTTTCAAATAGGAGTGAGAGTGGGCGTGGGAGTGAGAGTTAGAGTAGGAGTGATGTGAGGTGGGAATGTTGCGGCAAAGTAGCACTTACAACATAGATTAGCTGCAATATATGCACAATTACATAAATTAATAAACAGCCTAAATAATTAAAAATTCTACCCCAAGTGACCATTCCACGCGAACGAAGTCGCGGGCACAACTAGTATTAAATAAATAACAAAATATATATATCATCCATTTTAAACTTACATTTGAAACATTGATCCATTTTACTAAAGGCGGCTCTATATCTAATTTCTTCAAAAAATCTGGATTCAATCCAAAAACATCATCATCACATCCCACGTTGTCATCATTAGGTGAATCAGTTTTTCTTTTGGGGGAACTACATATTTAAATATAATTTAGATTTTTTAGTGTCAATTGTTAGGTATTTGTTTATAAATTAAAGCTCTTATTTTTCTATTAATAAATGAATTTCTTTGAAATAAGAAAAAACTTACCCTTTTCCTATGTATAAAGTTGACTCAGATGATGTACTTTCATTATCGCTTTCCCCTAAGGACAATAAAATCATTTCAATAACACACCAAGTATAAAAACGTGCTGTATTGACTTAAAAATTATGTATCAATTTTGTTTATTATTGTACAGTAACATGTACACAGCCAGGTAGTCTAAAATACCTAACATAATATTAAGATATAATATGCAAACATAGTAATTGAGCATCATGTCTGCACATTTTATTCATGAATATTACCTTCCACATTCAGTTTGAATTTTCCTTCATTTTCCTTAATCCTTAGTTTCTGGAGAATAATTCTATAGTGGTCTTCATTATTAAAACTCAAACGTAATTGAAAATCTGACCTTTTTGTCCTTGAATCTTTCATCATAAGAACATTGACACCACACTGGAAAAGATCAAGCAAGATGGTTGTTATTAGATTAATTGAAATTATTGATATGTTTTTAATGCAGCAAAACAGATTTTTGATGTGGTACAGATGACCATCAACAGGTAACATAGTATAATACTCCTTAAATAATTTAAAAGGGCATAAGATCCATTTGTAGTTTTATTGTAAACAAACAAAACACTGTTTTAAAAGTAACCAAAGGAAACTAACCTCATCGGTAACATATTGTTTAATCTGTTCATATGTCCATTCTCCAGGCAAGTTGGAGAGGGATATAACATACTTCTTATTCCGTTGAAAATCCTCTACATTGTCAGTACTCTCACTGTACTCTTGACTATCAGAAAATCTGCGTCTTTTAGTCCTATTGGAAGAATTCAAAGCACTCTCATCACTCAAACCATCCAGCTCTACCTTAGTCTTACGTTTTGAAGATAATTTATTTTCATCGCCTTGGCTACCACTAGGATCTTGGACATCGTTATTTTTTGCAAAATTGTGAAGCTTCTTCAACTTATCGAATATAGAATGATAATTGTCGATCTGCACAATTTCTTCTTTAATTACTTCCATGTTTACATCGCCACTTGATTGTTCTTGATTGCTGGCCATACTTTTACTAGTATATTTCTATTAATATGTACTATCTAGAATAAAGTTATTATAATAACTTTATTCTAGATAGTCATAACATAGACATCAACAAAAGCAGTATCCAATTGTAATGTCAGTCAGTTTACCGATTTGACAATTGCTGCCAAACATCAAAATGTCATGAAAATACCACAGAGTAGCATAACACGCAACAAAAATGATTCACTTGTGAAGTTTCAAAGTTGCTAAAGATATTTTGCAGATTTCAATATACATATTATACAGTGGAGCGTCGATTATCCGAACATCGCTTAACAGAATGACCGCTTATCCGAACAGTTGTAACTCGTGGGCTTAACGGTCCCCCGCCTGACCCAAATTGTAGATATTATGCTAAAAAATCTCGATTGCCACGAATATGATGAAGAAGAGGTTCAACAATGGCTGGATATCGACGACGAAGATCCCGGATACCAAATTATCAATTAATGCAGGATAGCGAAATTTTAGACCTCATGACTGAAAAGGCCGACGCCACCGCTAGCACCACATCAACTACAAGTTTTTATAATGAAGATGAAAACGTAGTGAGAGCTTCTGAAGCATTTAGTGGCTTCGATATTGCATTGCGTTGGTTGGTGGAAACACAGGCTGAAAGCGACCAGTATTAAATATGTGTTCTTAAAAAAAGTACGTGATCTAGCCACTCGAAAACGGGTGGACATGCTTCGGCAGACAAAAATTCAAGATTTTTTTAAGCGTTAATTGTACCTACCTAGTACACATGTTTTACTATAAGATTACATATCTGCACTTTTTTTTGTTTATTTCACATATTTTGTCACTAAAGATATATGTAAATGTAAAAATGGTTTTCATTTACCTGTACGTAAATATGTATGTCTGAATCAATATACATATAGGTAGTTCAATTATCCGAAAATAACGGTTTTTCGAACACCCACGTCGCCTAATTACTTCGGATAATCGACGCTCTACTGTACATAGTATTATAATTAACAGAGCGTCAGTAGCTCGAAACTCGAAATATAATATTATTTTATACTTTACCAAGTAACTATATGAACTTTTAAATACTTTTTATTATAATTGTAATTGTTTCGGAGTAAATCATTAGGAGTATTCTTATTTATATTTAATTTGAGTAAGAATATTTGTAATACCAAACCGATAGTTACGTAATGTATATTAAATAATTGAGATACTTAGTCGAATCTTATAATTTAAAGAGAAATAAAAAATTATAAGCATTCATGTAAATATAATAAATAGAATTAAATAACACAGGGTAATCCTAATATGCGTTGATCTGATTGATCATATATGATCATTTTATATGGGAATATAAAATGTTCATAAAGCAAATTTAACCATTTCTGTAAATAGGTCACGCAAAAAATGTAGAGAAATTTTGGGGTTCCGAAAACCGAATTATATCAGTGGCTATTTGTACCTGTCACTGGCAGGATCCGACAAAAAATATCTGCCAGGTAATGAGCGAACGTTTTGCGACATGATAAGGACCGCATTTGAATATTTCGCTGCGGAATACATTTGTAATTTAATTTTTCATACAATGTAATTTCTATTCTTTACTGGCTTACACCATAATAAAATACTATTAAATGTAACTTAAAATTTATTTTTCAGTTTGAAGTATGTAATGGTAGGTTTTTTTTTTAATTATACAATATATTTACCAATATTACTACTATAGTGCAAATATTAATTGCCCTATGTTGAAAATAATATAGGTGTAATCTTTCAAAAACAGATCTCAAACGTAAAATTTGACACGAGTGAATACAGAATTTTTTACATACGGTTTAGTAAAAGATTTCATAAAGTAAAGTTTGTATGACTGAGGATAACGTACAAACAAGGACATTGTTTGTTAGATGAAAGAAACATAACATTTCAACAATTGCACAATAATCGACCTATTTAAACTTTAGGTATTCTGATTTCGATCTACCTATTATAATAAGTGCAACATTGTGTAAAGAACGTTACAGACTAAGCTTATTAAAATATAAACTAATAACTACTTTACATTTTTACATATGTTTATTCTTTCGCCAGTAATTTACCTTAGGTAATATTCAAAATAATATGTAGTTTCATGCAAAAATGACGTAAAATAAATTCATTATAGATTCAAGCTACCGTATGTTTCTGCAAAACCCACATTTCGAAATAACTACGTACAGGTGCAAAGCGAAATCATATCAAAGATCAATTCAGTTAGTTCTTTTTACCTTTATGTAAATTATGTTTTATATAATATAAGTAGTTCACTGTTTTTTTCAAATCTTTGTGATTAAAATATATGTTTATTATTAAATGTATATGTTTTTGGAATATTAAACAAACCAACTCAGTCTGTGGCTTGTTTGTTATCAATTATACAGACCCCCGAGAGCTTCTGTAAAATATTACCACAGACACATTTGGAAACAATGGCAAAGGAAATTGTCGTTGTTCGTTGACGTCTTGTAAATTGTCAATTAATCAATTGAATATCAACAGGCTAAATACTTTTTTGTTACCAAAATCAAATATTTCTAAATATAAATATTTTCATAAACTTTATGAGCATGTATTCTTAATTGTTAAATTCTATGTAATATTACTCTTTTAACACAAAAAATAATAAAAAAAACCAACCGTAACAATGTCGAAAAGTGAGGTTTTGTACGTTAAAGGAATGGATATGGTAAGCAATGTAACTGCTATTTTGTTTAAAATGTTAAGCTTTAAAAACATCTTAATTTACTATTGTTGACTACGTTGACTAGAAGATGTATGTTCCCTTAAGTACTGATATTATGTAGTTTAAGAATGGTAACGAATGTAAAAAAATCTGTAATACGTACCTATAAAGTATTTTGAACTGTTAGGTATTCGCTTCAAAATCGAATTCTAGAGATATTTTTGTACTGCATATATATTTTATTAAACATATTATATAGTTAATTGAGATAGATTTTAGGACTCCAGACAAATTTTGAACTAGGGCTACTAATCTTCTAAACACTTTGATACCGACTTGATATTCTAATCTCTTGTTTGTAGTCAGAATCTGAAGATGACGGTAATGCTTGGGATGACAGAAAGCTGAATGATGCTTACGACAAAGCAATTAAAATTGCAAACATTGAGATTGCTAAAAGAATTGCTATGTCAACAAATACACAAACCAGCAATGCGGACAAAAAACGTAACTATATTTCAGACTTTTGTTCATTTTTTTTTAAATATTTACAATGAAAACATGTAAACATATTCATTTTCAAGTTCAAAATCTAAGCTCGATATGTATTTTTTTAATAACAAAAGCAATGTATGGTATAGGAATGTTTTAATGAACTTTCTTAGTCAAGCATAAGGATTAGGATACATTTTTTATTATAGATTAGTATTATTTTCTATCATAACCTCCTATTATCGCTTGTCAACTATTTTTGAATGTTGATTAATTTGAACTACTACTGCTAGCTTTTGCTGCTTGACAAATTCTTAAAATCTGACATCTGGCAGGATTTTCTTCATTTCAGCTGTAAGTGTTAATATTTTTAGTGATCTTGTTAATTGAATGTATGCCCAAAAACTTACAATCTTATTCATAGTACAATTAGGACTGTTCTTCATATAATATTATTTGCACAAATAATTCTGTTTCCTTTCTAGTCCTTACGAAAAATCAAAAAGCTCAAACTAAGTCAAAAGTTAAAAAAACAGCTTGGAAAGTTGGCATGCCATGTAGAGCTGTGTATGATGAAGATGGCCTAGAATATGAAGCATATATAGTGTCTATTATAAAACAAAATGAATGCATAGTACAGTTTTTAGGTAAGATTGTGGTTATTGCTCATACACATACTTTTAGAAATTGCTCCTTCTGGTATACATAAACAACATTTTGTACAACCTTATTTATTTTAATCAGCCTTTTTTTAAATTTATAATGTTTTAACAAATCTAATTCCAGGTTACAACAACCTACAAGTGGTTGAACTTAGTTCTCTGCTGCCTTCATTGGAACCAGAAGGGCATAAAACCTTTGAAATCAAGTCAGACCAAGATGATGGCGGTTTTGAAAGTCAATCCTTGCACTCTGATGAACCAGATCTTAATAAACCCAATACTGCACTTTTGGGTCAGTATTTGATTTGAATAGCCACTATATTATTTATTTATTACATTATTGGTTATAGTATTTTGCAAATCTCAAAAAAAACATAACGAATAACAATGGAAAATAACTTCAGGCGAATCAACTGTTGCTTTGTCTGATTAGTCAAAGGCAATGTAGAATATAAAATTCCACCACATTACCTTGTATATGCATTAAATTAAATAGGCTACTTAGTTTAAGTAAACGACAGCAAAGACACGTATTCTCGCATTTAACACATTACGACGGGTTGTTGGTGTAACGGGAGCCGTGTATGATTAATAACAAACGAGTCGTGAGTTCAATTCCTAACGGGTCCACCATTTTTCTAATCAATTTATAATTTTTCTGACACATCTGAATATTATAGATTAGGAATACCCGTCCATAGATGAAAAAGCCGTCAAGTTTAATCGCGTTTCGGTTTCAATCTGTGGACTGAATATCCAAGGCAAAATAAGTCTACACCGCAACTTCTGTTGATGTTATATGGCTGGTGTATTTCACCTAAGATCAAGTGAACTTCATGCTTATTTGCCCTCTTTTATCATAAAAAAAGGATATGAATTGATTATCATATTTTGTCTGGCAATGTCGGCTATGTTAATTGCGATGTTGGCAATGTTGGTTAAGCAAAGAAAATTTAATTGAAATTAACATACAACCAAGTGTCTTCAACGCTAGGTTTTAGAATGTCCAACCTAGAGGTAATAATTATTAAAATCATTTACAGATACACGCAGGGATTCTCACAAAAATAATAAAAAGACTGGAAAGAATAAAAAAGTTAAACAGCAATCATTCAACGATTTTACTTTGCCCGATATACCAATGCCTGACATGTCAGCCATTAGAAATGTAAGTAATAGCTTAAAATTCATAATCAGGCTTTGTTTGAAGTCCTAAGACCTTTAATATAATGAATAAGACAAAAATGAGTTGAAAGTAAATATTTGTTGTTAGAAAGATTGAGGTTGATGTGATCACATGAAATAGGGCAGTCTCTAAACTATGATCTATATGTAAAGCATGTATTATCTATGGCACAAATATCAAAATATACTATTGTCACTTATTTACCAATACTTTATAACATATTTGCTCGTAAAGTGGTTGTAATTACACCAATTTCAATATCGTAATGTATCTCATTACGTACTTGTGCGATAATGTAATGTAAAAGGCACGTGTTTTTTTTTGATAAAGTTTTAAGATACTCCGTCTAAAAATGAACAATACTTTTAAAAATCTTAGCAAAGAGGTTTTATGTCAAGAAAGTGGTTAATATTTTATGAATAAAATTAACTTTAGGAAATAAAATATAAGAAATAAACATAAATTGACAATAAATTACAACCATTTATCTATAACAAAAACACAAAAATATTAATTTACTTTATTAGTAATACTGGCTGTTTTTGTAGTGATAAATGTATTAATTTCCTCGTAAATATATTATAAAACGTCGTATGACATACGTGCGCTTTGAAAATTACAGCCTCTGCTTTCTTATAGTAATATCGCCTCGGCTGTAATTTATAACTTACCGCACTTATATTATAATGTACTATTACTTTATTGACAACTTATAAGAAAAATTTAGTTTCATGGTTTAAAATTACGTAGCCATACTTATTGTATATTATGTTACTTTTAAAATGCCAACGCGTAAAATACCTATCAAAATCCGTTAAGTTGTTTATGAGTCGAGCGAAACTAATAATTCTTGGAATCGAAGTAATATTTAAACACGTGACTATTAATTTTTGTATTGCAGCTAGGCTTAATGGAAATGCCTTTGCCGCCTCCCCCACCGCAGTTAGGTGCTGTTCAAAATGAGCAGCAAGCTGTATCTTCAATGCTGTTAAGCTGGTATATGAGTGGGTACTACACGGGACTATATCAAGGGATGAAAAGGTAGGTTAATTGTGATCACTCATAGATATGAGGCCGCTAAAGACAGAGTAGCCTAACTGCAATATTTATGACTTGAGTTATTTATATTTTCATTGTCTAAAAATATTATTCTACTAGAGCACAGTGACTGAAAATTGTTAAAATAATTTTTACACAAGCAATAGTTAATTTCATTACAAGTTAATTGTATTTAGGCCACTCTGTCTCTAGCAGCCCCATATTATGATACATTTTTGTATTTTGTATATATTTTCATAAGTAATAGTTGAAAAAAATTATTGTACATAATATGCAAAGAAATAACTTAATGTGTATATTGGCCATCATTTTGTAAATATTTTTTTGATTATTTTCAGAGCAAAAGAGGAAAACATGAACGGAAAATGATATACGACATTTTAAAAATAGTTTTATTTTCATAACTAAAATTAGAAAATGCCGTTAATTAAGAATAAATTAATTATGCCTCCAGATTTGTGTCTAATAACTATGTACATAATATACATTTTACTGTAGTCGTAATATTGACCAATTGGTGGGTTGAATACTTAGCTGGTACATTTAACTATGAAGGAGTAGTTTCAGATTTTAAAAAGTTTGCGAGTGAAATTAAATTATTTTTCGTGATATTTGTTTTGAAATATCGGAATAAAAGTTTCATTGAAAACTTTGTTATTACTAAATACTGCCACTTAACTAAATTGACTCGGAATTTGTCATTTTAAAAGTGTATTTACAAGAATGTAATATAAAACAAAAAATTTAAACAGTAGAAATTTTTCAACTTTAAATTCGAGTTATAGGTACGTGACGTAGAAATTTAATACAAGTTAAATATTTTTATTTTTTTTTACTGTACTACGTTTTATTCTAGTAAGTCATGTATTTTAAAAACTTTTAAAAATCGTATTTAATTTTTAATATATAAAACATATTGTCAATGTAACAGTTAATGGAATAAATTGCGAATGATATTAAACTAAAGGCACTGTGAAACTTAAATAAAACTTTCTTATATATAAATCTAGTTTTAACTTAATTCATGGCAAACTATATTATCTATTAATGAACAAACAGTATTTACAGTTAATATACAATTAACAATAAGACATCAATCTATTTTAGCATAAATATTGTAATCGATTTTCGACCAATCGATTATTAAGTAAGTAAGTGATTTGTCTGTTTTTTTTTTAAATATAAATTAAAGTCCCTACGGCTGTTAAATTTTTCTTCAAATATGTCGTTTGGGCATGTTGAGCATCAAACTAGCGTGCTCAGCTCATGCGTGTCGTGACTCAGGTCAATGGTAGCAGCTGGAACACCTGGAGTTGCAGCGCCCTCTCCCGGTGGCGTACTAGTTGGTGGCCTGGAAATATAAAACCAACACTGTTTAACACAGCTCTACAATGACACAGACTTTACATGGCTCATTCAAAGAACCTTAAAAAAATAATTTTATTTCTTTCATGGCAGGGGGGGGGGGGACAGACAAGCGTGGGTTTCACCTGTTGGACGATGCCATATAACATTTAAACGAAATGCTTTGTCGACCGATGAGCTCTGGATTTTTCTGTGCAGTTTTGTCATTTGTTTGTATTCTTAAGCGTTATTTATGTTCTTTATTTACCTAATAATATAAGGTCCTCCCTGTTGTAACAGCGTAATCGGGTGCGTGTACGGCGCAGTCATGCTGTGAAAACTGACATTACCAGCTCCGGTATTATTCAAGTGGCCATTCATGATCACGCCGTTTGACGTATTCATGACTTCTTGCGTTCTGAAGGCCTTCACTAGATTCGTCTTTTCCTTCTGCCAGACGAAAACATTGTGAACCATGGCACAACCGCAGAAGATTATGCCGACGCCAATAAATACAGATGTGACGATGGCTGGTGTTGAGTGGAACTGAATGAAGGTATAAAGAATAATACCTGGAATGGACAAGATTATGTGTCAACTATGGCACTGTGGTTTCACTTTAAGCTTAGGATAAAATTAATATGTAATTTGTGTAAAAATTATGTTAATAATTATAGGTCACTGTGGTCTTGAAGATTTTTAGACTATGAAAATATAAAAGTAAATTTAAAATGCATTTAGGCCACTCAGGCTCCGGCGGCCTGATGTAGCAGTAGATATTGGGGTCTATGTGAAATAAAGCAGGGTCGGTGCAATACTTTAAATAATGTTGGAAAGCTGTCGTCATTTCCAACCGAAAGCAAAAAAAGTTACTCACCAGTTAAAAAGACGGGTATTGAAATAAAGAAGCCTCCAACGGCACAGACTCTAGTGATAGCTGACTTCTGTAAGTACTTGTTGGTCCTGAAAGAAAACGTAAATAACTCTGTTAAAGTGTAAGCGAAAGAATTGAAAATTATGTTTAATTTATTAATGTAAAGTGGCGCCATATTAAAATTGAATCGCAAAAAAATGAAGCCAATGTTTTCCAAGAACAATTTGGAAAAGATTTTTATTTTTAAAAGCTACTGTTTTGTAGGACATGCTTATGTAGTTGTATGTTTGTATGATCTTTGTAAGTATCCATAAATTAAAACTTGTAACATGTCCGGGCTGTAATACAACGGTTTCGACAGCTGGTTTGTCAAGGGTTGTCAGATTGTTTATTTTAAATACATATTAACTTTTTTAATATTACTTAAATATGTTTTAACTAACCAATATAATTATAACGTTAACCTTTATCTGAACATGAATTGCTGTGATAAGCAATTAATTTATTTTCAAAGTGCTATATTTTTTACAAATGTTGAATTACTACCCTTTCAAGTGTTATCGGTAATTGACGCGAGTAGTACACAAAACACTTAACGGTTCCCCGTGACCACGACTCCTGAAAGGCATCCAAAACCGTCAGACCGTGGTTAAAATAAACAAAGAACAAGTATACTAATATATTTCGCGTTTTTAACCTTTGAAGTGTTTTATTTCAGTTCATTTTGAATTTGCATAAAAAACATCATTTTCCCTTTACAAATGGTCAAGCAACATCAAACTAAGTTCCCACGTTGCCCAACAGGGTTATGCAATGCACCAGCAAAAACTGGATAAATCCAGTATCAATTAGTGACCTATAAAAACTCCGATCTCGGCAGCCCTACGTAACTTGGATAAATTAAACCGCTACCGTCGCCGTCATCTCCATACGTGTGGTGAAACCATTTATTTTAATCGGGTTATATGTGTGGAGTCAGTGACATTTCGTGTTCCATTTAATAACTGTCATTAAGTGCGGGAGGTTTTGTAACATTCCCTCTCATGCTCGCGACTTACAGACTTGTAATATGCCAAAATATTTTTATAACCTGCAGTCGAGAACGTTAACACCGGCCTTTAGAATAGCCAACCCGGACCACCTATGATGGAATCGACATATTTCGAATTTGGTTGGTTCTGGAGCACATGTATTTTGGTGTAATCACCTTTTGATCAGACTTATAAGTTTGTCCTTAGGTCTTGAGAAAAAAATAGTGTTTTTATAAGACAGTTTTCATAATTTGTTTATACCATGCTTTCTTTATAACTTCTAACGGAACACTTATTTCTTTAAAAAAGTGACGACATAATTTTAAGAGTATGAAATGAGAAAGGTTTAAGATTTTGTATAAAACTACATTTATGTGTTTTGTTATAACGGATACTTTTTTATAATCAGGTTTTGTAGGTATGAGCACTTAATTATGTATTACTTATGAAGAGACATGAAATTTTAGTATTAGTAGTATTGCGCGTGCGCAGAAAAGAAAAGGAATTTAACGTATAAAAGCAAAGCTTGTAATTAATATCGTAATTCTTTAAATAGCTCATTTAGATAATATAGAACGACATACAACGCAAGTATGTTTACAAAAAGACGTTGAGACCCCTGCATATGCGTAGACCGTGAAATTCATATGCTTGCTCTTTAGCCGTTATTTGCAACTGTCAATACGCATATAATATACAAAGATGTTACGTATACACTTGTTTACTATAATTCTTATTGCAAACGCTATAATGTAAAACGTTAACCAAAGTCCAAGTTAAGAAACATTTCTATTAACGAACACGATATCGTTAACAAACAGTCGAATTATTTTAACCCATGTTATGCATGGATGACTGTTGGATAAACGGTTACCATAGCTGTACCCAAACAAGTTCTACGAGTTATTGGGCCTACACATTAACATATTCTAAAAGCATTTAATAACAAATCATTATTTAATTTAAAGATTTAGCTGAACGGGAAATGTCAAGGTGACATAATTAAGTGTAGGTTAATTCCTTAGTTGACGTATTTTTCTGTTCACGTATTGGTAACTGGGCTTTTATTAATTCAACTCATTAATTAAATAGTACCTATTTAAGTATCCAAACTTTAAAATTAGTTTTTAATTTCTGTGGCTGTCTTCCCTACTGATTGGCCGGTAGTAAGATAGCCTAGTAAAAACCAATGGCTAAGTTACAAACCCAGGTCCTATCTTTGTGACAACTGAGGCTATAAGCGAAAAAAAAAACATAAAATAGGACAAATATTATGTGACAATATGGCAATCACTATAATTCGATTTTTGATAATGTTTTCTGCTTAAAGCGGGGTTGCTTGATTAGGTTGCTCCAGAGTTCGCATTATCTTTATTTAGCGAGGTCCTGGGATCGAATCCAGTCATTTGAACTAATGCAACACTGTAGTAACTTCCATTGGGTTGTAAAATTTAACGACACAATATGCTGTTTCCTTTATTTGTAGTATGTATATTGAACACAGATTACTCGTTACTGTAGATTAACAAATGATCTATTTACATCGTAATTAATTTATCTTTGATTAAAATAATGCTTACATAGAGGTACACAAAAGGTTGTAGAGTTGTTTATAGTATAAAAAAAATATATATATATGTCTTTAGTTTACGTGAGAAGCATTTATATATTAGTTTAAATGAAATACTTGAACGTTTTAATACCGACCGCTCATTCAAAGCATCTAAAACGTCGGGCCTATTTCGCATTACAAGCCGTTAGTGTTATTTGAATGAGACATAAATAAAGAGAACAGAGAATCGTGGAATAATAAATTGTTATTCAAAATTTATAAAATATAATTCAGTGTTCAACATTATTAAAACCAGCTTTAATTTTTCCATTAAGAATAAATCCATAAAAACTAAAAAGAACAATATTATACATGTACAATTTTAACAAAATAAGGATCTTTGAACGAGTGATACATATAAATTGTATAACTTCTTTTTTCCTTTATTTTAATTGAATAAATTTAATTATTCATCAATGAAAGCATAACAACTCTATTCCTTTCAGTCGCTAGATCAGATAACAACATGAAGATCTGCGATAATCTATCCCCCCGTAATAAATGCCATGTAATTCCACTTATTAAAGGTAAATAAAGTGAATTTAAATATTACCAGGATAAGATTGTGTTATCAGTCTAGTGCGCGCTGCACCGCGAACCGCCATTTTTATTATTCACGTCTCTCAGCTGACGACCGGTTATAACGTATACAAGAAATTCCAACTAACAGGTATGTACATATTTATATACATCTACATTTATATACTAAAGTAATCGTGAACATTCTTCGTTGGTTTCGAGTCGTGGGATTTTATTTTCGTGCGTGTGATCGAGGCGAAATGGCGGGAAAGGTTTCACGGAGTCCATTATTGTTTTTTTTTTAATTTGCATAACGTACTGGCCTTTTGCCACAGCGAACTAAACTACCAGATACCTAAATGACACTTCGTATTGACATAATACACAGGCGGGAAATATGTGTATCAGTAAAACTGTTGATAATATTTTGTATTACTGTTCTTGATAATATTAAATATGTACGTTAAACAAGGAAGTGATTGTGTTTTAATAAAATACGCATTAGAAGTTTACCTATCTATTTTAACACAACCCCAATAATGTTTACGCAACTTTTACTATGAGTTGTAAAATATCTACAACCTTTGCTACTTCACACGGAAAGTTATGAAATTTCACGTTATGTGCATCGTTGTTTATTTGTAATTGGTGAGCTGATGTTGTTATAAAGTTGAATGGTTTAACTTTTTACAAGAATTTTTCCTGTACATCAAGCGAATTATAATATTTGAGTACCTAGAATCACATTGTAAAATTTTACTTGCGTTGGTATTATACCAAACATTTGTTGCTGAGTATTTATATTTTAATTATAAATAAATATGTTGTTGTTTAATTTATAGCGACATTGATATTTCATACCTTTCTCTTATTTATAATATTAACCAATAGCAAATGTAACTGGTGTTGTTGTGTTAGACTTGAAGGTAAGAAAGAGTTTGCCATGCTTTGTATAATACTGATTTTACGTTCTTAATAACGATTTAAAAGGAAGACATTAAATGGGATTGTAATTGCAAAAGACTGCTCCGCGATTATCGAAATATTACATTCTCTCATCCAGACGAATACGGCCACAAAACAAACCTTTCCCATTGCAATAAGTCGCAAAATGCATTGATGAACAAAATTACGATTACGGCATCTACCTGCCGTTGAAGGTCGAATAGCTATAATCATGTGAAAGAATCATCTTAATGGCTACTAAAATTTATAATCTGCGTCGTAAATATATTTCGAGTTTACGTTAATGTACTTTTAATTAGCCCCCTTACTTACAAGTAGCAATATTTATAGTCTGTGGCTTCACAATAAGACAAGGACGTCGTCATTAAGCTTTGAATATATAATATAGAGTATAAGCAAAGCTTCTAAACAATGCGGGTAAGCTAAATTAAAAAAAAACGTGTTCATTTTCAACCACAGATACCTTTTTTAACTAATTATATCATTTATTTATTAAGATTTTTATCATTAAGTTCTCGTTTGTAGCCGCTCAAGAATAATTAAAAAATTTATCTTTTTTATCTGAAAAACAAAAAAAAATTTGTGTTTTAGTTTTAAAACATAAACAAACAACAATTTCGTGGGAAATTCCCAACCGAATTTAACAGTCACTAGTTTTTCGAAACAGGTACTGCAACCTTTGTTTGGATTTTGTTTTTGTCTGGCCTAGCCATTTAGCCGATTGGAGTGAGACGAGCAAAAAGTCAATCGGAATGTTATTGTAACGGCTGCTGCGGAATTTGCGTGCCGATACCATTCTTAACGTGGCTTTGGGGATGGCTTCCTTTGTATTGTTAATTTAAATTCGAAAGGCTTTCCCTTTCTCCTTTTACTCCTTTAGATCCAGAAGTATTTTAGAACTTCTTTCAGCTTTCAGAAATATAAAACGCTGTAGGAATAATGAAAGCACAGCGTAATAAGT